CTGTCTTTTTTAATCACTTTATTGGGGGGGGGGCTCTTACAAATCTTATACCAATCCATCATTCAATTGTATTAAGCACACTTGTACATACGTTGCCATCAACATTTCCAAAACATTTTTTTTCTACTTGAGCCCTTGGTATGAGCACCTTTTTCCCCCTCCACCCCCGACCCTTCCACCCTCGTGAATCCTTGATCAATTATATATTATTGTTATTTTGTATCTTACAATGTCCCTTCATCCACATTTGTTATTCTTCCCCCATTCCTGTCTTTTTCAAACATAGTTTTTCAATTTCCTGGTTTTGTATGTGTCCCTGCTATTTCTGTGGGTGTGCTAGTTGCAAAAAAAAAAATTACAGCTAATTTTTAAAAAGTTAATACTTTTAATGATATACTAAAAACTTAAATGTCCAGTTAGTCAATGGCAGCATTCCATTTATTTTGTTACCCACGTGCTTAATATCTTGTTAGTTTGAGTTTGTTACTCAATCTGCCTGAGTAGAGAAGAAATAGAACATAGTATTAAGAGTACAGCTACTGGAGCCAGATTGTGTCACTTTGATTCTTGACTTACTGCCCATCCCGTGCCTTCCTCGCCTAGACCGTGGATTGACTGTGATGGAATCCACATCGCAGGACGGTTGTGAGCCACCAGACTGAGCACAGTGCTTCTCTCGAGTGAATGTGTATGACCCAGTGTGCTTCATTTGGAAGTCATGAGCAGCACTCACAAGCTATATTTACATCTTAAAATTGTGTATCATTATGAACAAAACATGACGGCAATAACAGTGGGATGATAATGGTGAATGTTATTTCCTTGTGTTGAAAATGAGAATTTTTTGAATTGGAAAATTAATATACTTATAAATCATGTGCATGTTATTTGGTGGGTTATAGTTATACAAGTCGGTTCAGGTGTGATTAAAATGGAACACGTGGACTTCCTTGTGTGCTCTGCAGTAAGCCATTAGGAGAGAAATGCCAGAGACCCTCTCTTGGACACAGGCTAGGAGCTCAGGAAACGCCCTAGTACAATATAAAGCAGAATTCCAGGTACACGCCACGTTGTAAAGTAGTAATTGAGAAGTTTTATAAAAAGGCTTCTGAGAGATGAAAGGAAATGGGATTTGAATTGGACTTTGAAACAGAAGGACCACATGAATTGCAAAATAAATTATAGACATGATAAGCAAACTTTTATTTACCATTTATAAATCACTTATATTTTGCCACTCCTAGGTCCTGATGTCCCATAAATGACAACATATTCTGAGAGAATTCATGAACGGAGACAGTTGTAATTAATTGCTAAGTTGGTCATTTGTCTTTGTGTGTCTAGTGTATGGAGGCCAGTTACTGAAAGACGATAAACAGAAGAACGGTTCAGAAAGATTTATTACCTATATGCCTCGTGAATGCCCCTGGCATGCAAACCTAATTTTACCCAAAGACCCATGGCCCCTAAGATTGGCTTCCTTCACGGTGAGTCGGTGGACAGCTGTTGGGAAGTGTCTTCGGCACGGTGGGAACAGTTGGGGCAGTGCAGCAGGAGCCTTGGATTCACTCTCGTGTACAATGCAAGGCACCGGAGCGATGCTGTGGGTTAGGCATTGGACTGTTAACTGCAAGGTGGGTGGCTCAAACCCAACGACTGATTCTCGAGACAAACCTGAGGCTGTTTGCTCCGGTTAAGATTCGCCACTCTCAGAACCCCAACGCGGGGCTGCTATGAATCGGAATAGACGCGATGGCAGTGGGTTTATATGTTTAGTGCACAGAAACTAAGGTAAAGAAAGCTTGCAAATCTCGTAAATGCAAAAGGGGATTGCTTATCTAGGAATATTATATTCTTTTCTTACCACAGAGGAGTGCTGGTGGGCAAGCCCTGATTGCTACCCACAGTGGGGTGCTCCACACCTGTCCGTTCTTCTACAGGAGGAAGGGAAGGCTGTTTGCTCTCCAAGAAACCCTGCAGAGGGACCTTGAGGGCAGTGAGCTGGTTTCTGATTACAAAAATAGTTGGTATGGTGAATGTGAGATCTGTATATTGTCAAGGATTTTCTCTAAATTACTGTTACCTCTTTATGAACAGCTTATTATCCCTGCATTTCTAAGCAGAATAGGTTAAGGCCTGAACATGCGGATCCGGCTTTTACAGCAAAAGTTGTTAGGTAGCAATACAAAAATTAAAATCTATATGTTCTTGTTTTTGCTAACTTCCTGGGCACTGTCTTCCTGAAGAGACACAGAAGGAAGCATGATGCCTACAGTGCATTTATGGATCGTGTGGAAGAAAAGTTTAGCCAAGCACACAAGAACAGGTGGGCAAAAAACTTTAGAATTTGTTGTCAAGCACTTATGCTCTTTCAAACTGTTACTCAGTTACTCTTGTAAGTCATATGTACTGCACCCTATGGAAGTTTTGCTATCATAATCAGTTGCCATGGAGTTGTTTCTGATTCTTGATGACCCCATGTGTATCAAAGTAGAGTGTCCTCTGTAGGGATTTCAATGGCTGATGTTTTAGGATGTTGATAACCAAACCTTTCTTCCAAGGCACCTCTAAGTGAACCTGAACCTCCAGCATTTCAGTTAACTGTCAAAGACGTTAACTCTTTATACCATCCAGGCTCTCCTCGACGGTCACAGAAGCTATCAATGGGGCATTTGGATGCTATTCAGACCCTTTTAAAGGGAGTCCGAAAGAATCCAGTCTCTGGCTCAGATTCTAATTTTTTTCCTAGGTTTCACTGGGAATGCTGGGAAACTATTGCTATGTCAAGGCACAAGCTTTAGCAATTGGAGAGTTCCTGCCTATTCTCTCCTCAGCCTGTGTGATTCCAGAGCATTTCTGCCAGACCTCCAACGGCCGGCCAGCAGCTCGGCACCCTCTCATGGGGAGCTTTCTCTGCCGGCCAGAGCTCCACAAACAAACTGGGGGGGGGAATGTCTCCCAGGAGCAACCCTCAAGCTATGAAGTAATTGTTTTGCACAATTTCCCAGAGTTCCCCAAACTAATTTCTTACGCTTTGTTGGCTTCCTGCCTTTTCCTGTCTCACACCCTCACATTCTCGCCTATGTTTTTGAGATCACTCTTGGATCCTCTAGAATCCCATTCCAGTGTCTGCTTCTGGGGAAACCTAAATTGAGATGGCAGGAAACAGAACAATGGCTATGTTCATTATCCTAAAAGGTCGAGAGCTTGGCTTTGAACCCCAGCCTTAGCATCTGCTTTTGCACAGAGTATTTAACCACACTCTTCCTCATTTTTTTTACCTGTAAAATTCAGATAATGTGTACTGTCCTCAGCTGCAGACAAGAGGCATCTGAGTGACAGTGTACTCTATGGATTCTTCTCTTTCATCTGTCAATGAAATCTGTAGGAAAAAGGTGGAAGGGTACTGGAAAAAGTTGGAGTTTGGTCAAAATATGTTCAAATTCTAACAGAACCACCATCATCCTGTGCTCTTGGATGACTTGCTTCATTTTCTGACCTTATTTGCTCAATAGAACAAGGGAATACTGTGTGACTAGAACAAGGGAATACTGCCTTGTTTAAACATAAGGAAAGTATGCTTTAGAGTGGTATTTTCTCATCATACTTATTCAGTGTGTGTGCTGAGCAAATCATCTGAGAAGGTAGCTAATATGAAGAAGAGGGCAGCATCAGGATTGGAGGATGGTTTATGAACAACCTGGCATATACAAAGGACACAACCTTGCTTGCTGGAAGTGAGGAGGCCTTGAGACACTTGCTGATGAAGATCAAGGATGGCGGCCTTCAATATGGATTACAACTCAATGTAAAGAAAACCAAATGCTCACAATTACACCAATGGGTAACATCACGATGAAGTTGACCAGGATTTTGTCTTACTTGGATCCACAGTCAACCTTTGAGGAATCCAACAAGGCATTGCATTGGGGAGATCTGCTGCACAAGAACTTTTTTAAAGCACTGGAGAACAAGGATGTCACTCGGAGGTGTAAGGTGTGCCTGATCCAAGCTCTGGTATTTTCAGTGACCTCATATGCATGTGAAAGTTGGACATGGGATATGAAAGACTGGACAGGAATCAATGCATTTGAATTATGGTTCTGGTGAAGAATGTTGAAAGTACCATGAACTGCCAAAAGAACAAACATCTTAGAAGAAGTAAATCAGAATTTTCCTTGGAAGAGCATTCTTGGTCTCTTTAGACATGTTGTCAGAAGAGGCCAGTCCCTGGAAAAGGACATCATGTTGGTGAAGTAGAAGGACAGCAGAAAGGAGGAAGGGCCTCAAGGAGATGGATTGATCCAGTAGATACAATAATGGGCTCAACTATCACATCAATCATGAGTCTGGTGCAGGACCAGGCAGTGTTTCCTTCTGTTGGACATAGGATTGTTGTGAGTCAAAATCATCTTGATGGCACCTAACAGCAACATCTTGTAGCAAAATGCAGGATACAACAACAAAGAAATGAAATGGCAGTCTGTCCTTCATAGTTTCATAAAGCTATTAGAGAAGTCTAAGCCCCCTGTTGACTGGTAACGCTATGATTCGGGGCGTCCTGCTTCAGCCAGAACCTCAACCTTCCTATCAGTCACTAGGAAACATCTTCTATTAGCCTACATCTTCTATGTACCTCAATAGCCCATAGGCTTCTCAGAACAAAAGTATTTTGATCCAAAATTACATTTTATCATTAATATTTTCTTATCAAAGCCCAATATAGTAAATAAATGAGACTCTGCAAGTGTTCAATGATAACATGGCTTAATTTCTTTTCAAATGAGGACTTTTCAAAAATTCTTTTATTGGGGGCTTTTACAGCTTTTTAAAAAAATCATTTTATCGGGGGCTCTTACAGCATTTATCACAATCCATACTTTCATCCATTATGTCAAGCACATTTGTGCATATGTTACCATCATGATTTTCAAAACATTTTCTTTCTACTTGAGCTTTTGGTATTAGCTCATTTCTCCCCTCCCCCACCTTCCTTCCCTCATGAATCCTTGATGATTTATAAATAATTATTTTTTTCATGTCTTAAACCGACTGCTGTCTCCCTTCACACACTTTTCTGTTGTTTGTCCCCCGGGAGAAGAGGATCACAACTGATCATTGTAATCGGTCCCCTCTTTCTCCCCCCACCTTCCCCTTACCCTCCTGGTATTGCTACTCTCATTATTGGTCTTGAGGATCCTATCTGTCCTGGACTCCCTGTGTTGTGAGCTCTTATCTGCACCAGCGTACATGCTCTTGGCTAGCCAGATTTGTAAGGTAGAACTAAGGTCATGATAGTGGTGGGAAGGAAGCATTAAAGAACTAGAGGAAAGTTGTATGTTTCATCAGTTCTATACTGCACCCTGACTGGCTTGTCTCTTCCTGTGACCCTTCTGTGAAGGGATGTCCAGTTGCCAACAGATGGGATTTGGATCTCCACTCTGCACTCCCCGTCATTCACATTGATATGATTTTTTATTCTGGGTCTTTGATGACTGACACTTGATTGCATCGACATCTCATGATCACACAAGCTGGTGTGCTTCTTTCATGTGGGCTTTTTTGCTTCTCAGCTAGATGGCCACTTGTTTATTTTCAAGCCTTTAAGACCCCAGACACTATATCTTTTGATTGCTGGGCACCACCAGCTTTCTTCACCACATTTACTTAAGCACCCGCTTTGTCTTCAGCGATCGTCGGGAAGCTGAGCATAACAGAATGCCAGGTTAATAGAA